GCAGTTTTCATGCAAACCACATGGCATTCAAGCACTGAGTAGAATAAACCGTACTTGATCATCACTTCTAATATAAAACGCCCCATTACAAAATTAACTCATAAAATWACCTTTCTCTCTAATAAAAATACCTTCCTAAATCTAAATCTATTTTGTCGGYGAGGTCAAAGAAATAACACATATTGCTTTTTGACTTTTTTGATTGTTTTGCTGATAGCTGGTGATAACGTGATTGTAAAGAAGCCGTTTTACTCTGCCGAGTTTAGCGTGTCTCGAGCTTCATACGGAAACCTTACGCATATACTATACGAACTATACAATTATTCGTCGGTTAATGTCGATTGAAGTTTTTGGGAAAAGTGCAATCTGCCGATATAGCTATTGAATGTATGAAGATGGTGTTTTCTCAAAACACTTAAAAATAAATCAAATGGCGATYAAGTCTACTGAAGTAGTCGCTAGCTACAGCACCTGGAGAGATAACGATACTTGAACCTACTTAGGGAATCAAGGCGGCTGATGAATATCTTGGGATGTTTATAGATTCGACTGATATGTATAAAGCCTTTGGTTATGCCGAGAAAATGGAAAAAAAAAACCCACAGCAATCTGAGAGAGAAAGTAGTAGAAGAATTAAAAAGAAGAAGAACAAAGAAAATAATTAACAAGAAGAAAAATTGCTGTAAGGCTTTACATCTACTGGACAAGAATAAAACCGAATCATACCGAGAAAATCAGTTTATTTAACTTGCTTCTAAGAGGAWTTTTTTGGATTCCTGTTAACGACCATTATCAACTAACCAACTTAGTTTAATCTTATTGATACGTAGATGTTTTTTTGGGACAGTACTGGTAACATGAAAAGATTACAAACTGACTAAGCACTCCAAAAAGCCAGCAGTGCACTACACTTGTCTACGCGGTACTGTAAGGCCTTAACTTCGCGAAAAGACGCTACTGCTTTTGGAAAGCCGGCTTACTGACCTAAACAGACTAGCATCTTTGTTTTTAGTCTCCGAGTAGTCTATCAAGGATTGAAACAAATAAGCTTATTTGTTTACAAGATAAATTCYGGCATGTTTGATTGACTGAGTGCAAGACAGTCATTTGTTGTTCGTCTCCGGTTTTGTCCGTCCAAGGCGCCGTAAGGTCTTGTAATGAATAGACGTCCAATATTAGAGCGTTGCTGTTACTTTTGGTAATAGAAAATATAACGCCTTTATGTTAGCTAAACAAAAAATCCAAAAAYAGGCATTATAATAGAATATAATATGATGAAGTTGGGTTTCAGTTGATCATTGTGTATCCAATCGGTTTCAAAATGGTGGACATATTGGTTGCTGTCGTTGCTGTCGTTGCTGTTGTTGTTGTTGTTCATGTTGCTCTGTTGAATCAATAGGAATACCATGAAATRCTGGCGGGGTTCATTGCGATGAATCATGTTGAGTCATCAATGGTTATTGATCTATTCATTTTGCACTGTTCA